CAGGTACTGGCAGTAGGTCGGTGTTTTTTCTTTGGGAACTCCGGTTTTCCTATACCAACAAAACATGGCACGTCCTTGAATAACCATAGCAGTTCATAGGACGTAAAACACAAGCACAACAACAAATTATCAATGCTCAAACAATGCTTTCTATATTGAAACTACGCTTTTCTACTCAAATATGACTGTTGCTATTCAAAAATTTCATTCTCAAACGCGGCTTTCTTTAATCAAACAAGTGATTTCTCTTTCTCTACTCAAAAGCTTCCTTTCACACTCGAGCAATGCTTTCTGTTTGAACATGTCTCCTTTGTAGCAAAACACTAACAAAATATGAAAGTGTTAAAACGTTTCCGCAATCTTTTATTACAAAATATATAGTTAAAACTTTTATAAAAAAAACAACACATAACATGTGAATATTAAAACTCTCCCTTATTATCTAAACACTTGGATAATTTCAAATTCTTTAAGTGCTAAATAGTCTCTGTCTGTAGGAAATGCACATAATTATTAATTTCTAAAACACAAAGTAATTTATAAAACACAAACATAATATAGTTCATGTATTTCTATAAAATCGTACATGACCTCTAAAAGTACACATGGCAACCACAATGTAAACAGCCCAATAACTTCCAGTTATCAAACCAACAATCTCATAACTTAACTTTTATTCCGCATCTAAGTTGGAGCGATAGGTTTATAGTTTTGAACAAGTATTATAGATACATATCTGTACACAATGTTAGAGATTTCAGTCAGAAACGCAGGCAATCGGAAACCGTGATTTAATCCATTAAATATCAGAAACATATACTGAAGTTTGGTAGACGTGCTTTAACCCATTATATATACGATAATGGTTAGCCACGTCAGTGTAAAGTTGATTGAGTTCAAACAAATGTGAATTAAATCGGACAATATTCCATTTCATTCTTTCAATTGCTGAAAATAAAAGCGTATGTTTTCGGAATTTATGTAATGTTTTGTATGCAAGTATAACACTCGTATTAATGAAAGCTCCAGCATCAACACGGACCAGTGTCGGGGTATGTGACAACTAAACACAGTAAATCGTATGCCAACGTTAATCAATTTCTGGGAAATCCATCTTGGTTCAGCGCTCTCCCTGATCAAACTAACCGATCAGCTATGTTTCCTACAGCTCTCCCGCGCATGTGCACGATTTTACATTTTATACTATGGTCATCATAGCATATCTCCGCTATTGTCTTTCGGGAGGGGCGAAAGAGGATACTACATGTTTTTTTGTTTTATTTTCAATAAAACATGCTCTACAATGAAAGAAAATGGATGTTTATCCTAAAATGAAACAAAGTGTAACGTCCGTCTGTTGTATAGATTTAACCAAGTTGATACTAACACAACTTTGATTCTGATTGTTTGTAGTATCGCTTAATGAACCTCTGAGATGGTTGTTGTTTGTAAAATTCCTTAAGGTACCTCTGAGATATGGGGTTGTGTAAACTTACCAATCAAGGAAACATGCGCGATGACTGACAGCGAGAAAATTGTTTCTTATGCCGTTTGACATATTTATTTGACACTCTCGGCGATAAACATGAAGATGTACCCTAACAGAAATAATGGCTGATGGTACGATAGTCTGCCCCTCTACATGCAAATATTTCAGGATAAAATGTGTATTTGACGAGGTAGTTGTAAACGTACAGGTTCGCCTGTTAAAGAGGTTCTATAAGAGCAATTCGAACTACATCTCCATGTGTGTAGTAACTCATTTTTGTAGCTGAAAAGGGTCATGGTCAAATAGCCCATGTCCCAGTGCGTAGTCATTTCTGTCACCAACCTGCTACTCTATATAATGCATTGTTATTCACGATGATGACACACGTGTGTGGTTCTTCTTCCTTTTGCTAAGCGATACTGTTTTCTATTTTTAAATGAATAGCTAATAAAAGTTTGATATGAATAATAAAAATATATTGGTCGTGCTAAGGAAATTGAAAGGTGATGCAAAGAAAGTTCGAGACCAGTTTTTAAGGATAGAATGGGATACAGCTTTGTAAGAGCAACTTATTCTAGTCGACTATAGTGCATGAACCACGAGGTCTTGTGTTTGTAATAGAATGTTGGATGTGACAATGTTCGTGTGTGTTTCATTTCTTTCGGGGGTATGGTAGCACGGTTGTTCATCTATTCTTTAAAAGAGTTGAAATATCACAGTTTTATATCATATACAAAGTATCAATAAAACTTTGATACATCATATTTCCAAACTGATAAATCTATTGAAGATATCTCTAGAGTTGAATCTGATTGTGTTTAGCATATTGCTACCTCTAACCGGTGTTCTGCCTGTATACCTTGTATAACTGCTGACAAAATGTATAGTTTAGCTGCATTAGGTCGGATGTTTGTTCGAGTTCAAATCAGGCAATATATATTTATACCAAGGAGGTGTACTTGTATGCTAGAGATTGGACTGTTTGAGAGCAATGATTTTAGTATCAACACAAAATTCCTTCAAAATGACACGTCATCCAAAGTTCATCTTTCAGTTAAGGTTCAACAAGCCCCATAAAAGAGGTAATAGTCACCCTAAATTTCAACCCCATGGCAAGTCATATTCAAATATTCTTATCACAAATCGGAATATATATATGTAATTTAAATACATTGAACTTGTACATGAGCTATTAAAAAGGTATACAAGCAGGTCAACGAAGTCAAAAATACGGCATTAAGGCTGATGTAATGATAAAAGTTGCTCACCAGATTTATAACATGTCAATCTCCTAAGTGACCCAACTGAATGTTTCGAAATTACATGTTATTTGAAGATCATTTATATACCTAGGTCAAGCGGGGCTTTATTTCTCTTTAACTATGTGTGGAGAGGCATACCGGCCTTACAAGTAGATGATTGTTGCTATGGGAATGTACAAAAATCATAGTAAAACGTCAGAGTAACATATTTTAACGGTATATATGTGTATATCCATAGACATTTGACCATACATACTACTTAAACTTCATACATAATGTCCTTCCTTAACATTCAATATTGTAATAAAAGAGCTAGACTTGTTGTAAACATTATTGTACTTTTCAGCTTCAATGTTTATTACATGTCTAGCGCATTCATATAACCACATAATGTTATCAAATGGCACATCATCTCAAGTTCATTTATCGATCAAGGTTACTTAGCCATTGTTTTCTTATTTAAAATTTGCTAAAATGTATTACCAGGAGATTTTATTATGATTTTAGTGATTTCGCATGGCAACATCTATCTTTATTTGTGGTCGGAATTCCTCTCAACAGTTAGTAGAAGAGAAATAAAGCTCCGCATGACCTAGGTATATAAATAAACTTTAGATTATGAGTCATTTCCCAGCACTCAGTAGGGTTGCAAAAGAGATTGACATGTTATAAGTCCGGTGAACTATTTTTATAAAGACATCAGCCTTAATGCCTTTTTTTGACTACGTTAACCTGGCTATGTATTTGTTGTATGGCCAATGTACAAGTTCAATATATATAAATAACATATGTGAGTTCCGATTTGTAATTTAGGGTTTTTGAATATGACTTACCAGGGGGTTGGAATTTTAGTTGACTACATCATCTTTTAGGGGGCTTGTTGAACCTTAAGTTCCTCGGTTTCTAATTTTCAAATTGCGAAAGTATATCAGCGGACATTATACTATGATTTTAGTGGTTAAACCTGGCTACAACCATCTCCGTGTCAGGCCGTCATGCTTCTCCATAACTAGTTAAAGAGAAATTAATATCCTGATGACCAAGCTTTATCCAGGTACTTTGAACAATGTGTCATTTCTAAACACTGAGGGTGATTGTGGCTTATTGAAAAATTTTGTCGACATCTTTAAAAAAAAATGTCGACATAAGAAACTCGCAAGTCGAAAGTGGATGGTAGAAATATGCCACCATAGAGGGTGATTCCGACCGATCGGGATATTACCATACGTCACTATATTGACTTTCCGACAAGATGTCGTACCGATCTTAAACAATTTTGACACTTTAACAAAGTGTTTTATGGAGTGAGAGATTCATTACATTATTATTGACAAAATATGTTCACCAGCATTGCAACAAATTAAAGTTAAATATAATGACCGATAGTAAGGGGTCTTTACATGTATGTTGCTGGTTCGTTTTGAAAATAGTGATGTCAAGTTTTACCATCTACAGCATCCATGTTTCAAGATCAAGGTTAATTGCCTGTATCAAATGATTGGTTTGAAAACATCGATTGTTGAAGGCAGATTGTTAAGATGCTACTGTTAAGTGCAGCAATTGTGTACGAGTATATTACATAAAGTCATAGTTGGTAGAATTTTTAAGTTCCAGCTCGTGAACAATGTGTTTTTCTTATCAAATATCTATATTTGTTGGTATAGTGAAATTAGACTCAGGGTGTGGATAAATTCAACTCTGAAAGCGACATGATATTTAGTGCACGTGAGGAGCGGTTCGGGTTTTAGTTACATGATCAATGCACATAGCACAAGTGGCAATTCTACACATGTTGTCTGGTGATACTACCGAATATGTGACTGGTCTAAATGCTTATACGAAGATATATACAATTGTATATTGCTGTGTAACGGATGTTCAATGCACGAAATGTTCATCTTCAGTCCTAAGACAACTCGGTGATACAGATACGGACACTACAATGGGGCTAAGAGACACACAAAAGTACATCCTTGAACGTCCACCGAAAAAGACAATGTTCCTAATTTAACGCAGAATGAATCAGCTAGATATAGAAACATGCCATGAAAATAACGTGTTGCTTAAACTGGAAGCTATTTTGAATTTTCTGCCATATGAAACCTGCAAGAATATTTCAGAACATGTAATAACGTAATATATAACTTATATTTATACGATTGGAATAGCCGTTAGGGATAAAGTAAACACAAGGTAACTGAATACCTGACCGATATGTTTGTACTTATATATCTGTTTGTGTGTTGTAGGAGAAAGGCTTGACATTGGGATAGAGCTGATCATCGCTAGTTTTGACACTATTTCAGAGGTGGACATGGTGAGTACTAACCTATACCACTAGTACCACTTATAAGATCACTAAAGAGTCGACAACCCCAATCTGTGACAGATTGCTACAGTTTTAGCCTAAGAAAACGATCGTTTTGCTTTTAAACCATTTCCAGGAAGTCATAAAGGAGCATGATGTTTGTCTAATCTTTCAGTATGTGCCTATAGATACTCTAAGTACGAAACCGTTAATACCTCAACCTGATTACATGGTTCGCTGAGAATCTGGGAGTAGGAAAGAAAAGATAAAGTGATGTTGGGTACCTAGTTTATGCAGGGGGTGTCCGAAAACAGAGGTTATCAGGTACAAAATAACCCTTATGTCCCTATCTATTCCTTATAATAACCTGTTCTTAACTATCCTTATGATAATGTACCCCATAAACCATTCAACCCGTGTCTGTCTATTCTTATAATAACCCAAAATTTTAAATCCATAAGACAACCCATGCCTATTTATCATCATAGTTACTCATTTCTATCTAATATTACAAATACCAATTGCTATATGCCATAGTAATAACACGTTCCTATCTTTTCTAAACACTCCATACTTAATGTCGTTATAATGACCCATTATAATATAATTTTGATTGCATTATTTTCATCATAGCCTAGTGCTAGTTTTACCCATATACAATTAAGATTAATTGGTAAAAAGTAAAGCTCATATTTTACTACTCTGCATTTCAAAATGTCTTGACTGATATTTTTTTTTAAGTAAACTTCACTTTTTTCTAGGGGTTTACAATTTTAATACGATCTATGATGCACTTTGGCACAAAACATTTAGTTTAATATTACAAATACAGATTCAAGTTAGAATGCGCTCCAGATGTTAGTTAACATATTTTATTCTAAAACACAACGATAAAAAACGTTTTGATTTCTGCACCTATTGAATATGAATTCTCAATTAATAATAATAATAATAATAATAATAATAATATGCAACATTTATATAGCGCCCTATATAATTTGTAAAATTACTCTAAAGCGCTTTACAACATATGGATAATAATAGTGGTTATAATTGTGAACACAAAAAACAAAGGCTTACAATCACTTTTATACATTTAAGCAAGCAATGTGCACATAATTGAACAAATAAAAGGGTGGTAATGACATGACTTCTTTGCAAGGAATCTAAAATGCAGACGTGAAGAGGTGAGGTTTGATATCCCTCTTGAACTTGACCAGGGTATTTGCCTTTCTAATAGCAGATGGTAAGCTATTCCACAACGTAGCCGAAACCCTCCCAAAGCATCTGTTTCCGTAGGTTCACAGTACGAGATTTTGGGACACACAACAAAGATTCTGACTCCGACCGCAGTGATCGTGACGGCTGATACAGGGTAACAAGCTCCTATAGTAACAGTAAATAGGTTAAAATTAAGAAATTAAAAGGAAATCTAATCACATTAGGTTTTTAATGTCAGTATCAAGGATGAGATGTGGAATGTCTCGTATCTGTAACCATACCTTCGTTATTTTTTTAATTTGACCAGGACATTTTTGTGAATAAAGCGATCAATTTGATGACGGCAGAATAAATGACGTCACATATTAATGCTTCTTTGTGTTGACAGTTAGAAGAGATTGCCAGACGAGTCGAAATCACTAAAGACTAATCTTTTCAACTAAATAAGTTCTGACATATTTCTTTATCTTTTAGAAACAACGATTTGCTCCTGTAACAATGTAATGCAAATGGTATTAACGTTAAGATGTTTGAAATGAGATACGTATTAATCTGTCTAACCTCGGGATGGTACGTCAGCATTGATCACGGACAGATTACCTTTGATTTGCGTTGATATTATTACACAATCACCCTGACTTGGATTGTCTAGACGGCTACTCATCGCCGTCTCGTCCATTTTCCGTCATACATTGTACGGTGTATTTGTCACAGTTACGAAATTCGGCATTCAATCAAATAATCGATGCATTAGTATTCACGTCAGCAGGTGAACTTACATTATTCATTATAAGTGCCTTAAAACTACAAAAAAAATCTGGTTAATTTAACATCGGTGTTATTTACAGAAACATCTATTATCAAGCATCAATTTCGGCATATACATTCCTTCAAACCAGACGTCCAATCGCCATTTGTTGGAAGAGCTTATGAAGACGATATTGCTTTGACAATGTCGCGACAGCTTAAAAGATGTCGTCATTTGACAATGGTCTGAGCATCATAGTTCTGTGGTTGTAAAGATGGCCGACATTCTATAGGCGTTGCCTTGGTTAGGGACGGTATGATTGCCGCGAGAACGCATCAATTCCCGATGAGCATGGCCTTGGGAAGCCAGACTTTCCCTGTACATCATGATCAACCGGACGATTGACAGCTAAATGGCTCATCAAAATGAGGGGATAGCCTAGTCTGGGACCCATACACTGTTTAGGTAAATTGTACAAGCATACTAGCCCGGGTATATTTCAGATACCATGATTATATGATGGCTCTCGAAGGACAATGTATTTAGAAATGAAACCATCAACAGAGATCAGATGAATTGTCCGGTAGAAATTAATGTTTGCCAAACATAGCGGTAATGCGACTGATTATTAGATCTGCTTATACATTTCAAATCCCTATGGCAACAGCTTGCCTAAAATTGCACTAGGTACGTCGACTTTGTGTAAGGGATGGACGGAAATGAGACATGGCGTGGTTACGATATCTTCGCATGCCAGTATTTCAAGGTTGAGATGGGTGACGGCCAATCAGTTCCGTGGTCCCTAAGCCTTGGCTAACCTGTGACCCAATAATCCTAGACAAAGATGGCCAATTCTATCGGAATTACAATGCCATTTGATATAACCCTCAAGTCGAAAACCAATTTCATGTCAAGCCTTGAAAGACTCCAAACTTTGAACGAATTATAATTCGAATTGAAGACGACCATGCCAGTTCACGATACTGGCCAGACTGTATGGCGACAAACGGTTCTGATCTTCCCGGACACCAAGCGATGGAACAGACCGCTGGACAATCCGTCCCTACATGTGTAACAGACAAGAGTATTCTTTTTTAGCGGAAGTCAGGATTAACTAGTTTTGCATGTGTATTGTTACGCCGTATGAATGACGTTGAAAGGTGACCACTCTCGATAACTACAGCTTACAATGTTACGAATAGTTTACAACCACATAACATACAATAGTTATGGACTCGAAAAATGTTACCCACCTGCTTTCTTGCATACCTGTATAATTTCTGTCCTTTTGCATGTTACGTGATATGAACGTTGTGTCATATAACTGCTTTATTACGTAATGAATACACTCATGTTGTATATTTTATCTTTTACCCTATTCCGTCTTTGCGTATTGCAGAGTTATCTTCTCTTGGCAACATGTATTGATTGTTACGTCATTGGTCTGTGTGAGAAAATTAATTCGTTTTCTCAAAAAATGATGACGTTACTCTCATAAACAAGTGACGTAACAATCACTACCTGCTCCCAAGAGAAGATAACTCTGCAATACGCAAAGACGGAATACAATAACGCCCAGTTTGCTGTCGAGATTTAGGCTATGACGTTAACGTTAAAGTGATAGGAAGCATTTCGAGGTTTCATTTATGATCATCAATAAACTCTCAATAAAACAAAATCATTGAGACTCGTTTTATTAATCTCATTAAGGATTAACCTTTTATTTGGTTTAGTTTATGAGATAGTAAATCCAATGGAGCACGAGGTTTTACGGACAATTTACCGACCGCTCCATTGTATTTTATTATCTCATAAACTAAACAAAATAAAAGGTTAATCCTTATATTTACATTTTTTTCTTTTAATAATAACACCATTAAAAGAGTCGGATACAAGCATTTACCCTGTGTAATCTGCGTTCAAAATTATTTAGGCGTCATATTAATCGTGATTTAGGATGCGAAAGAGCCATTCGCAAATTCCGTTGACAGGCGGCTAAACCCCGGCCGCTTTCTCCGTGACAACAAAAGGAAAAAGTTCCCCCATTTCAATATTTTTATTTACATAGAATATCCATATTTTACTTCATATAGTATCTTCATAATTGTATTAGTAGTTAATGGAATAAATAATTGTATATTTGTATGAAATTGGGGTGATTGGGGCAATATCCTAAGCAGAAAATACTCATGACCGCGTACGCCCGTCGTTTGAAAGTGATGCGTCCAAAGGCGGGAAATAGAGAGTGCTACCATGTCGTCGTGCGATACTCGATAGTGACTAACCTTTGCCTAGTGGAAATTGAAAGTGCAGTTATTGAAATTGCTGTTTATAAGCATACCAGAGGTTTGTACAGATGACATGTATGATGTAGATCAATCGTTTGTCGGCCGAGTGACTGTTGGGAGACGAGAAATTCAACCTGCATTTCTAGGAACGATAGCCATCGTTTCTGTGTCATAGCGGCGGACACTCATAGATGAGAGAGTGGAGTTGATGGAGCGTTTTTGTACCGACGAACAATCGCGACTGTAGCTTCTGACACTAGCTGACAAAAGCATATTAATTAAAAAAAAGATAAACACAACAACAACAACAAAATAATGTTGTTATTTTGGTGTTTCGAACGCACGGTAGTCTAAATGCTAGCGTTTGTTTGTAAACATTGACACGAGGTTTGCGGAAAGAAGTCTGCCAATATTTAAATATATTTATCCGCGGTGAACTGGGTCACGTTCTACACTCAAGTTATTGAGAAAAAAAACAGAATTGCCCTCACTTAGGTCATCGATTCAGAAACAGCGGCAATTGTAAATATTATGTAATGAAAACTCTTGTTGACATCGTACAAACGGCAATGGTTGCGTTTCGTTCACTTTACCTTATTCGGGTTGGAATCGGCAATTACAATAATTTCTGTCTGATTGGTCTCCTAACGACATGTGAAATGTCTAGTCCTGAGATTTAGTGTCATAATACCTATTATCTCTTCTATTCTTGTATACTAGACCGAGATATCCGCATTTTCGGCGGTCCTGGA